GGGGCTGCTCCGCTTCCTGCAGGTGCCTCGGTGCCTCGCTGCCCCGGCGAGCTGAAAGCTGCGCTGCTGGGACCAGCCGGCTTTGGGGTGTGGCGACGGCTTCTCTGGCACCGGCTTCGGCATCGGATCGCAGCCGCGGCCGAGCCGGAGCGGGACAGAGAATCCCCCTTCCCAGCAGGCTCACATCGCCTTGGAGGGAGATTAAATGGAAATGAAACTTCCTTCATCAATTACCGGCTTGGTTGGGATGCACCACTCCACTCCTTTCTTCCCCAAAAAACACCCAGGGAAAGTGAGAGGTTGCCCCAAGGCTGCCCTTGGGCTCTGAACCAGGAACCGGACTTGTTTCACTGGTTTCAGTTTATTTCTTTCAAATTTATTAATTGATAAATTTAATTTATGTGCGTATTTAATTTGTTGGTTCACTCCTAGTAATTGAAGGGCACGGCCAGGGGAACAGAGCTTGGAGTAATCCTTGGCTCATCCTTTGCTGCTCATTCCGCCTCCCGATTCTTCAGCATTCCCAAACGCCCGACTCCAACACCCCCACCCTGCTCTGCTGTACGTGCAGCTATAAATACCTGTATTCAAAAATACTTTTATTGTTCCTTTCATTTCTCCTTTTGCACAGGAAATCGTTTCTCTCACGGCTCGGGGCTGAGCCGCTGACCACAGACCGTCCTATTTTTAACTTTCCTTTTCTTCCAAGAGCCCCCCGGACCACCAGCGCAAACTCAGGAGCCCTTCACGTGCAGAAGCCACCGGAACTCGCTGGTACCTCGCTCGGTACTGAAGCGATGCCTTTTTCTTTCTGAAGAAATCGGTCAAAACCTCGTCCGCCGTTAACTTTGTGCGGGTGTTTGTGGGGGTTCTGGGTTTTCCGGTGCTCGGAAGATTCAGACTGAAACCTGGGGGGAGGCTTCGTGCTTCTTTCTTTTTTTCTTTTTTTTTTTTTTTTTTTTTTTTTTTTTTTTTTTTTTTTTGTTAATCTGGGGCTAAATTTGATTTATCGGGGGATGAGACGTGTGGAGAGTTGGGATGGATCAAGACCCCCCTTTCGAAGAGATTTCCCTCCTTGATTAACCGGGTATAATCACCGTGACCTAAGCTCAAGAGGGAGCTGGAGGCTCGGGTTTAACAGACAAGGATATTTGCTCAGTGCCAGAGGAAAAGAAAACCAGTAATCCAAGGTTTTCTGCAGGATTTTGCTCAATTGCTTCAAGGTGCAGGTAGATCCAGCGCTGGGAGCAACCTGCATCCTTTTCTCACCGTTTCAGGGAAAAAGTTCCTCAATAAAAATTTCATAAAATTTAAATTTAATTTTTTAAAAAAATCCAAATTAAAAAATCCGAATTAAGAAAAAAATCAAAAATTAAGAAATCAAAGGTTTTTTTAAATCATATTTTAAGAAATCTAAATTAATAAAAAATCTACATTAAAATAATCTTAATAAGTAACATTTAAAAATCTAAACATAGACCAGGAAAAGGGCTGGATTTTTTCGCTGCCCTTGCTTTCAAAGCATCAGCCAGATAAAGGAATTATCTGGGCCGGCAAATAGGTCCGTTGGGGAAAGAATTTATTTTTTTAGCTTTTTTTCTTTTTCAGCCTTCGGCCGTGCCAAGGAGAAAGGGTGGGTCGGGATGGACAAAGCTGCGAACGGGCCCGTTCAGAAAGAGGGTTCAGATGTTAAAAAGGGACAAATCCCCTCCCGGTGCAGCCGGGACGTTCCCAGAGGGAGTCAAGGACAAGGGCGGGAGGTTCCAGCCCTTTCTGCGCGGAGCTGGGACCCCCGGGGGGGCCGCATCCATCACAGCCCGGGGAAATCCCAGCCCAGGTTTGGGAATTGGTCCTGATTTGCAATGCGGGAGGGGGGAGCGGCTTCCTCTTTCCACCCCATTTCCATGGGGGTCTCACCCTCGCGGCCCCCCTTCCCTCACCGGGCCGTGCATCCCAGGAATTCCACTCGGAGCGGGGGTTTGGGACCACCCGGGGGGCGCAGCCGGGAGGGTTTTGGCCATCGCCCCCCGCTCCATCCCCAGCCCCGCCGGGCTCCGCCTTCCCCGCTGCGCGGAGAAAATGAAAGCGGCGGCTCCCGCATCCCCCGGAGCGCCATGGACGCGCTCCCAGCCGAGGCCTCCTGCCCCATCTGCCTGGAATATTTCCGGGACCCCGTGTCCATCCACTGCGGCCACCACTTCTGCCGCTCGTGCATCGAGCGCTGCTGGGAGTGGCCCACGGCCGGGTTCGCGTGCCCGCGGTGCCGGGACACGGCCCCGCAGCGGAGCCTCCGCCCGAGCCGCGAGCTGGCGCGGGTGCTGGAGATCGCCCGGCGCCTGAGCCGCGGGGAAGCGCTGGCTACCGGGGACGAGGAGGAGGAAGGATGCCGGAGGCACCGGGAGCCCCTGGAGGTTTTCTGCAAGGAGGACGGAGCTCTGCTGTGCGCGATCTGCCGCGAGTCCCGCGCGCACCGCGCCCACACCGTGCTCCCGGTGCCGGAGGCTGTCCGGGAATTCAAGGTAAAGGGAAGCTTTTCCATCCAGGAGCTGGGCCAGCTCCGCCAGGGTAGAAATGTCCCCCCGGGTTTGCCCCCGCTGCGCCCGGCTCGTTTCGGGGGGACAGGACGCGCTCCGGTGCTTCTGCTCTCTCTGTTCTGCTCCGAGCTTGGACGGATCCGGGTCTTCATCCTCCTCCCTGCTGCGGAATTCCAGCCTCCGTCCAGCTCCAGCGGATACCTGCCGATCCCTAAATCAGCAGGAACGTAGACAATAAGAGCGGGAATGTTTTCCTGGAGCGGGAGGAGGGACGGAGCTGCCCGCACTCCAACCCCCTGCCCAGAGCGTGTTTTTGAAGCCGCCCCGATCTTCAGAGAAACGGAGTCTTTCTTTTTCGTTCCCTCAGGAACAAATCCAGGCTCGGCTGCAAACCCTGAAGGACGACAGAGAGAAACTCCTGGAGTTCCGGGAGGCTGAAATGAAGCGAAATTGGGAGTATTTGGTAAATGCTTTGCAGCAGAGGGGTGGGGAGCGGGTGTCTCGCGATGGATTTAGAGGGGCGAGGTCGCCCCTGGGGCTGGGGAAGGGGCTTTGACTCACCCTTCCCACCCAGCTCCGCTCCCCGTGTGTCCCGTCCCGCAGGAGAAGACCGAAGCCGAGCGGCAGAGGATTCTCTCCCAGTTCCAGGGGCTGCACCTCTCCCTGGAGGAGCTTTCCCGTCACCTCCTGGCTCGGCTGGGGGACCTGGAGAGCGACATCGGGAAGGTGCAGGAGGAAAACGTGACGAGCCTGACGAAGGAGATCTCCCGGCTGGACACCCGCGTCCAGGAACTGGAGGAGAAGTGCCAACAGCCAGCCAGGACCTTCCTGCAGGTGACGAGGCACAAGAGACGGAGCCACCGGGTCCGGCGGGGGTCGGAGCAGCCCAGTCCGGTGGGATCACGGCCGCGGGTGGGACGCGGTGGTCTCTGCGGTCCCTTCAGCCCAAATTATTCTGCGGTGGGGCCGCACCCCGCTCCAGACCCCAGTCTGGTGCCTCAGCGGATTTCCCGCTGGTTGGACTCGATCGGCATAGAAAATCTCTTCCAGTGTAAGTGTTCCTCTGATTCTGAGGGATTCACCGAGCCCTTTCTCTCCCTTCCAGGACATCAGCGGAACCTTGACCAGGTACGGACGGGGCTGCCTGAGCTGCTCCTCCTGCCCCGGGCTGGGACTGGGAGCTGGATCCTGTATCTGGACCCATTTAGAGACCAAAGTATTTGGTTTTGTGGCCAAACCGCTGCGGAAGGGGCCTGACCCCATCCCTAAAGGCTCCTCTGTGGCTGGGCACAGAGAATTCCTTGGGCTCCCTCCGGGGTGGATCCTCAACCTCTTCCTTCCTTCCTTCTCCAGCCTGGGAAAGGAAAACCTCCAGCTGCCCCCGTCGCCTCTTCCAGAGCTGGAAAAGAAAATTCATCACTTCAGGGAGGAAAATATTCTCCTGGAGGAGACACTGAGGAGCTTCCAAGGTATTAGGAGCAGGCTGGAGGATGAAGCGATGAATTTCATTGACTGTATTACATATATAAATTGCATTTATTATATGCTTATAATATAATTATTATGTATATGTGAAATCATGAATTATATTTGTTATATTTGTATGCTGTATTTTATTGCAATTATTTTAATAGCATTTAGTTTTCGACTGCAATCCTGTCTTATCGCAATTCCGTTCGTCATCCTCAGCATGGCAGAACAGCCTCCCCACATTCCCGTTCCCACTTATTATTCATTTTATATCAGTCCACGTCTCCCTTCTCCCCTTCTTTCAGACATCCTGATGTTCGAGCTGCCGGAGAAAAGTAAGTCCTGGGATGGGGGCTGATGTGAGAGCTGGGTGGGAGATGCCGAACAAGCGAAGAGAAACGAGGGGAAAAGCCCCGCAGGGAGCCGGGGAATCCTCACGGCGAGGATCCTCCGGCGGGACGGAGGATCCAGGGAATCCCCTCCGGCACAGTGACGGTGACGCTGGACCCCGGCACGGCTCACCCCCAGCTCCTCGTGGCGCCCGACGGGAGCAGCGTCAGCTGGGAAAGCGCCGAGGACCCTCCCGGGGACGGACCCGGACCCGGCACCGACCCCTCCGTGCTCGGCCGCGAGGGCGTCACGGCCGGGAGGCGCTGCTGGGACGTGCAGGTGGCCCCCGCGGGGTCCTGGGCCCTGGGAGTGGCCAGGGAGACCCCCGGGAGCGGGGCAGAGACCCCCGGGAGCGCCGAGTGGGAGCTCTGGTCCATGGGGCTCTGCCAGGGCCAGTTCTGGGCTCTCACCTCCCTGGAGCGCATCCCGCTCTTCCCGATCCGGGCGCCCAGCAGGGTGCGAGTGGCCCTGGACTACGAGAGGGGCCAGGTGGCTTTTTTTGATGCTGATAAGAGAAGTCTGATCTTCGCCTTCCCGGCAGCCTCGTTCAAGGGGCAGAGCATCCACCCCTGGTTCCTGGTGTGGGGCGAGGGCTCCCGGATCACCCTGTGCCCCTGAGCTTCCCCCATTCCCGAGGTTTCTCCCCCAGTCCTGGCACTTCCAGGGACTTAGGTCTGCTGAAGTCTCTTTCAGAGATGCTGAGCATCCCTCGGGGTCGCTGTCCCGAGTTGCCACCCCAAATCTGGTGGCTGAAAACGGAGCCACATCTGTCCCGCCCCTCCTGCACCATCCCAATCCCTTTTCTCTCCTCTCCTCTGGCTTTGGATAAAGTAAAACCCCGACATTTACGTGTTTTAACTTCTCTTTTTGGTGTTTGCTGCTCCTGGGTGTGGGGATCAAGCTGGAATTTTGTTTAATTAAACCCCATTCCTGGTGTTTGCACCCTGGAAGAGCCACAAGGCCCGTGCAGGTGGCCCAGGGACTGTCCCTGTCCCTTCTGCCTGGAAGCCACGGGCCACTGCCAGCAGTCAGGAAGGACACAGAGCGGGAATTCACACCCTCTTTTATTATTAATGATATAAATCACGGAAGCCACAGACCTGGTCCCCTGGGGACCTTTTCCAGGGGGAAAAGGGCTGCTTTAGGGCAATTCCATGCATTGGAGGTTGGGAAAAAGCCTAAAAAAAAATGTAATTTGGAGCCCTTTGTTTGGAGGTGACCAGCTCAGATGGGATTATCTACAGCCAGTCAGGAAAGCCTTTCCATCCTGATTTTTCCCGTTTTTCCCACTGTTTCCCATTTCTCTGGCCCACAGTCCCTTCTCCACAGCTTCGTCCCCCTCTTTTGCCTCGTTTTTCCCAGGTTTCCCAAGTTTCTCCCTTCCCCCGGCAGAGAAGGAAACACAAAGCTGCCCCAGGGGCTCCCCCAGCTTCCCCCCGAGATTGTGAAAATCGGGGGCGTTTTTCCCTCAGGGACAGAGCCGGAGCTGGGACCTGGCCCCCACCACCCAGAGCCAGGGCCGGACCCTCTCCCCGGAGAAGGACACACGGGAAAAGACAAAGAGGAGCCCCCCGTCCTCGGCATCGAAAAACGCCACGGTGCCCGCGCCGCAGTCCAGGTGGACGCTGACCCTGCGGGGCAGCCACCGCAGGGCCACCAGGGTCACCTTGCGGCCGGTCAGCGCCCGGATCTGTCCCCCCCACTTCTCCAGGCCCCAGATGCCGCCCTGGGGGCCCAGGCTGAGCCGCCCCTTCCTCCGCACGGATTCCCGGGCCACCCCCACGGCCCAGTCGCCGCCGTCCCCCACATCCACGTCCCAGCAGTGCCGCCCGGCCACGAAGCCCTGGTGGCCCAGCACGAAGGGCCAGTAGTCAAAGCGCTCCGGGCTGTCCGGGAGGTCGCGGTGTCCGGCTCCGTGCCAGACGCTCTTCCCGTCCTCGGACACCACGAGGTCGGGATGAGCCGTGTTGGGGTCCAGGGTCACGCTGGCTGTGGGGGACAGAGCCAGGGCTCGGGACCAGACCCCATTCGGCATCTGAGGATCCCAGGTCCCTCCTCCTGGGTCCTCCCAAAACCCCAAACCTCCCAAAACTGGGGAAAACCCTCCTAGCCCGGGGTATTCCCAGGAGATCCGAGCTGGGAAAGCAACACAGGGGTCCCCGAGTCCAACTCTCAGCCCTGCACAGGACAACCCCAAGAGTCGCCTCATGATTTTATGGGAAGTGCCATCCTTGAAACAGAAAATGCTGGGTTTCACCCCAAAAAATCCAAAGAAAAAACCACAGCAACAGTGGTACAGAAATCCGAAGAAAATAAACAGCAAGGAGAGGGAGGGAAGAGGTGACGTGGGAGGAAAATGAGCAGAGTCTGCAGCAGCCACAGGCAAGACCCGGCTAGCTGGGCTGAAATAAATAAAATTAAAGGAAAACCTCCTTGGGTCCCCCTGATTTTCAAATTCTTTCTCCTTTTTTTTTCATACCAGAAAATGCCCTTTTCCCTTCCTCTCCCCCATCTCCACCTTCTCCCTGCAATGTTTCTATTCCCAATTTATACCCGGGACAGGAGCAGGGCAGCTCAGCTACTCCAGCTCTCCCAAAATATGACTTAAATCTATTTTTGTTCTCCTTCTGGGTACCTTGGAGCTTCCTCAGGGTTTCCTTCAGGGCGCTGCTCCTCCATGAGAAGTGACAAACTCGCTCCTCTGGCTCCGGAGCCGCATCCAGGGGCAGCTGGAAAGTCACTTTTCCACATCTGGAGCAAAAGAAATGAAACCAACAAACCCCCCTCGCACTTCTCAGAACAAGCAGAGAGCTCTCAGGAGCCACCAGCAGTGAGGGATGGTGCTGCTGGAATGCTGGGCTTTCATTTCCCCCCTTCCCTCGGAAATCCAGGAGATCAAAAGCCGAATTTCCCTGTTGGGTTCATCTCTTCTTCTTTTTACTAAATCTTATTTTTTATGAGAAAGGAAGGAATTTTTGAGGAAGACTGGACTAGAGAGAAGAGCCAAGACTTTCAATTATTTTTATATTTTGAGACCAAATCCCGGTGGATCAGCACATCCCAAAAGTGATCAAGGACCCAAAGGCTCCTCCCTGGAGCCGAGGAGGAGCCTCGAGCGGCGCTGGCAGATCCGAGTTCCCTCCTCCTCCACTCCTCTTGGGAAAATCCATGGAGAAGATTTTCAGGGAGACCACAAACCTGCTGAAGGAGCTTTTCACTTCCTGGGGGAAGAGAGAAAGGAAAGGCAGCTCAGCGTGAGATCCTCCAAATCACGGCAGAGCAAATTATTTGGAAATGTAGGGAACCACCAGCCCTCCCAAGGGGATTTAATTCCCTTTTCCCCATCTTTACAGGCTCAAACCTCGCTCTCCTCATCCCCTCGGGGCTCCGGAGGGAACAGGACCAAACGGGGACCAGGAGAATCCCAATTATTCACGCAGTGGGGAGGTCCCTCCCTCTGATTTTCCCTCAAAACAGGAGAATTCCCTCACCAGCTGCTGATCCTTCTCTTCCTGCCCCTCTGCCGGGGTGTCCGGGTGGGAAATCTCCGGGGTTTTTTTCGCCTGCCTCTTCTCCAGCTCATTTTTCAGGTCTTGCAGCTGTGAAAGAGAGCTCAGGATCCCCCTGGAATCTGCAGCCCCGAACCCAAGAGGGATTTAAGTGACAAACTAAAGGAAAGCAGGGTGGGAAATACCCCGAGGAGCTCCGGGAGAGGCATTTCCCACGGGAGAGCACCTCTGGATTCAAATCCCCACGCAAATCCCCGCAGCTCCCTGCCCGAATTTGGTGAAATTCTGCCCAAATCCGTGCGGTACCGGCGTCCTCCCTCCCAAAGGAAGGTTCCCGAGCTCGGTGTGTCCCCAAATGTCCCCGAGGCTCAGCAGGTGGCACCTACCAGGTCTTCCAGTTTCCCGCCCTCCAGGGCAGCTGTCCTTCCTCGGGGTCCTCCTCTCCTGGCTCAGAAAGCCGAATCCCCGCTGGAATTCCTTCCCAAGGGATCCAGACCCTGCCGGGTTTATCCCTTTGTCCAGGCTGGATCCTTCCTCTCCTGCTCCTTCCCTGTCCCGGGTGAATCCGGCTGGGCTGAGCTTGCGCGGCAGGTCTCCCCTCACCTCTCCCGCTTTTTCCTCATCACAATTCCAGGATTTTGTGCCTGGAGCTGCTGCCTCAGGGAGCTGCCACCCCACTCCTTTTGCGCTAAAACCGTCCACCTCCCCCCAAAACATCCCGGAGACACGGGATGTCCAGGATCCCGTGGGCGAGGGGCTCCCAGGGCTTGGCGGGACCATGGATGGGGCAAATCCAAGGAAAAAGGGAGGGGAAAGCACAACCAGGACCTTGGGGGGTTGGCAGAGGGACAAATTGGGGTCCAGGACTTCCTTTCACCTCCATCCCTGTGGCCACGCCAGGGCTCTGAGACCACCAGGAAACGTCTCCAGGGAATTTCCCACCCTCTGCTCCTGCACTGAGCTCCGTGGATAAATTCGTGTTTATTTTTACGGAACCATTGCAGGGTCTCTGCCACCGAGCTGGGGGGACCCACAGCTCGGGCAGGTTTGGAGGTAAAAATCTCGGTTCCAGCGCAAGTTTCCCACCGGGAAGAGCCAGGGAGGAGCCGCTGGCTGTGGGAACGGCAGCGCTGGGAGCGAGCACCCCAAAAAGGCTCCCGGGAAAGTTTCGGCAGAAGGGAAGGGGGCGGATCCCGGTGAAACAGCGGCAGAGCCTCGGGCTCGGCTCCTCCGTCTCGGGATGGGGAATCGGGTGGGAAAAGGAGTCGGCAGAGCCTGGAGAACCAGCCCGGGTGGGAAGCGCTTTGCATCGCTCCGGAGAGAAGGGAGTCCCTGGGTGGAGATCAGAGACAGGGAGGGAGCCTGGAGGAGTCGGGAACAGGGATCTCTGGCCCCGAGGGATGCGGAGAATTCCCGGGACACGGCGTGATGCCAGGAGCTGCCTCCGGGAGGGACCCGCGGGGATGGGGAGGGGGCTCCACTCATCCCCTGCCTGTTATTCCGGTCCCAGCGTCTCTCCCGGTTCCTCTTCTCGGTTCCGGAATTAATAACGGGGCTGTTTCGGTGCTGCCGCTTCCTCTTTTGGGCTTCCTCGGACGAAAATCGCGCGTTTTTGAGGAAATCGATGTCTTTGAAAGCGGCAAAAAGTGCCGGAACCCGTGTCCTGCCTCTGCCGAGGCACCACCCGCCCTGGGATTGATCCCACCTCGTCCCTCCCCAGCGGCCGGCACGGGGGGGACAGCGTTTTTGGGGAGTAATAATGTGGAAAATTGGGTTCCAGGAGGGCTTGTGTTGCTCCGCGGCCTGTGTGAAAGGCTGGGGAGGCGCAAAGCTCAGCGAGGTGTCCTCATCCCCCCCAGATTTTCATAATTTATCACCCAGAGGCTCAGAAATCCAGAGGAACACAATTCCCGGCGGGGCAGGGAGGCGAGCGTGCAACACGAAACGTTCTTTTATTTGAGACATTTTATTTATGACATTTATTTATGATATTTATTTATGATATTTATTTATTGTATATGACACAAAATGTCAGGGATGTGGAGAGAGAGGGGAAACAGCTCCCCAGAGCGAGAGGTGAAGGGTTCAGGACACATCCTGGACAAAAAGCACTTTGGGAAGAGAGGAAAGCGGGAGGATCCATCCTGCCAAGGGTACAAGAAAAAATCCGCACATTGAACCCGGCCCTCCGCCCCCAGGGCTCCACTCGGCCGATCCCTGGGGCCATCCCGGAGCTCCCGACGGACACGGAGGGGCGGCGAATTCCCGCGGCATCGCTCGGGACACGTCCCCGCAGCCCCTCAGGGGCAGATCCGCAGCGAGAAGCCGAAGCCCACCCAGTCCAGCGGCGACGTGACCTGCCCGGCCACCGCCCACTCCTCGCAGCCCCGCGTCACCTCCAGCAGCCGCGCCCCCATCCCCATCTTGAACCAGGGCAGGACCCTCTCCCCGTTGAAGGCGGCCCGGGTGTATTCCAGGATGGGAATGTCGTGGCCGGCGCTGAAGAAAGCCACCCGCCGCCCCTCGTAGTCCAGGGAGACCCGGAGCCGCCGG